TGTTTGACATCCCTGCACTCAGCCAGGGTTCCCGGCCGGCACAGGCTCAGCTGCTTCCCTCTTCTTTATGCAGTGATGCTTACCCGTTCTGTGTGCTGCACAAGCACAGCAGCGGCTCAGTGAACCTTCCTCTTTTCCCCAAAAACATTGATTTCAAACGGGTCAGGTGTGTCGCAACACAGGAAACAAACGCTGTGAAACTTTCAGTAACAATCAGTTTATTAAAGATTTAAAAACGCTGCACACAGTCAAACACGAGAAGCCTTCGACTGACGAGATCAACGTCTCCGTCACTACAGTTATAAACGCCGACGTTTCTGCAAGAAAAAAGGAAATCTGACGACATCAGCAGTTTACCCGTCTGCTGATATTCAACTCCAGCTTCAGTGAAGCTTCTCTGACTCCAGCGGAGTCCAAGTTCTCCTCAAACAGCAAGTCTGCAACCTTTACTGCACTCGCAGTTAGGCCCGAGCTCCCGTTTTAATTTACTTTAATCTTTTTTAATTGAATGTTTTGCATCATCATTATGACATCATCACACATGCTTTCATGGTGTTCACACCAAACACTGACCATGTGATGCACATCAAACCAGGAATGATCAGTTTCCTGTTCGTGGCTGACAGGAGGGGGACCCGGTGCGGTCTTCTGCTGCTTCATGGCTCGCCATGTTGTTCAGAGATGTTCGTCTGCATTCATCAGCATGTATACAATCAGTCTGGCTGCTCTGCTCTGACATCAGCGAGGTGAGAACTGTTGCTGACTGGACTGCTTGTTGTAAACAGAGAGGGCTCTCTTTAAAGTCTCTGAAATCGTCTTTCTGATGCTCAGGCTGAACTTCAGCAGCTCATCTTCATCATGTTCACATGCATAGATACACTGAGTGTCTGACACATGATTGGTTGATTAAAATATTTGCGTTATTAAGCACTTGAACAGGTGTGCCTGCTGAGTGTACCCTGTTGGCCATTCATCACTACTCGGTTTGTCTTACTTTGCATTTTCATTTCAATGACGTCACATTTTTTAAATCACAGGATGAAAAGTTTGCAACCTTTTACAAATGTTTGCAGTAAAACTGAACAGCTGTGCACACACGCAGGGCTACACTGAAACCAAGAGTCTCGGGGTCATGACCCCTGCTCCACCTAAACCTTCACCTAAAGCAGTCTGCATGGGTCAGAGGTCAGGGTCACCTCCTAAAGAACATTTTAAACATGAGTGACTCTGCTGGAAGAACAGGCCAAACACGTAACCTTGCAGGGCCGTTAGGGGGCGCTTAACCCGGGGATTAGTGACATGCTAGCAGAAACTACCGGGAACACGATTAGCACGAGCGTCGCTTGAGTCACCTACGTAATCAATGGCCACGTGAAGGGTGTTTTATATTTAGGAGGTGACGACAGTGATTATACACACCACGGATATAAATGTAATTAATAGTTGGATGATTTTTTTTTCTAAATCCTAAACTCGTGTTTCACATTGACGTTCCGTCAGACACTTCCTGTTATAGCAAAAAGCTAGCAAGACGTAATTTACCGTTACATGCGTCACCTAATATCTTCTATGTTTAGTAACCACAGCGATAACGTTATATTGTCAGAGATTATTATTTTATTAATATCATTATTATAAAGATGTTTGGCACTGGCAGTCCGCCCATACTGGCTAACGTCGCTTAGCGGAACCATTGTTACGTAGTTTCTGCGGAGCATTTTTGCCTGCGGAAGAACTACAATATCAACGTGGAGCCGGAAGTCGCAGTGTCGGACAGTACAGTCATGTTTGTCTGAAGGTTTGTCAGGTGCACTGATTGTTTTATATCACCAGTGGTCTTGCCCTCGCGGACATATACACAAGCACGCACACATTTCCCACCTGTCTCGCGGCCGTAAGCGTGCCGTCAACGTCAAAGAGGCAGAGCGTGCTCGTGTCCACACCGGCGTCACTCATCTTCCCTCCGCTCCCGGACCCACACAGACACGCTGACCGCCTCCCCGCTGCTCCGAGTGGGCTCGCCTCCTCTGCCGGTGTTCCGTAAAGAGCAGCTCGGGTCTCCCTATACTACCTGCTCGCCGCTTAGAACTACAACCACGGTTCTTCTCTTCTTCTTCTTGGGTGTGTACCAGACTGACAGACGCACAGTGCTGCCACCTGCTGATACTTTGCAGTATCTGCGTAAAAGATTAAACAAATTAACTTTAACACTTAATCCCCCGCGGAGTAGTCATTTTGCTTTTCTACCTTTAAACTGTTGTGAAATTACAATGATGTTGTTCATTTTATTTTATTAATTAATGTATTTTTATTGAATCATTTTATATTTACAATTTGCTTATTACTTGTTTTTACTGTCATTAATACTTTGGGACAGATGTGAAGCTTCCTCGCAGATTTTAAAGGCGAACCATTGTGTTCTTCATTATTTCCTGACATCTGCACAGGTCTGTGAAGGTGGCTTAAACAGGGTCATATATCATTGTAATTAAACACAGGCTGCAGCTGTAGATAAATAAAAACAATTTAAAATTCCTTTGTGTGTTTAGTGAGTTTAGTTTGGACTCTCTTGTCTCCACACTTCCTCCTCTTCATCGTGTGCTTTTGGCTCATGAACATTTTACCTGTTCAATTTTGCACAGCTGCTCAGGAAAATGAGTAAATTATGAGCCCAGGGTTGTGCAACAGGGTTTGTCTTCATTTGATATCGCTTCAACACAACACACAGATGTTGGGACACAAAGTCTTTAATGAAACAGAAAATTACAACACTTCTACCTGTGAGCTTTGAGGCCTGTTTTCAGTCCTGATATTTGCTGTAGATGTATGTCAGTTTGGTAATTTGTTACATCAGCTAAATCATTAAACAGAACCTAAAACAAAATATCTCAAATAAATTAGAAAAAGTTCAACCAATATAAGAAATCAAGGCTCAGCCATGTGAAAGTCACTGAAAAGAAGAAGCACAGTTATAATGGAAATGAACTCAAAGAGCTCAAAGTACAAACGTCTGCCAATCAGCACAGCAGGGTTACTAAATAAAATATGGAGGCCGTTCTCAAATGGCGCCTTTTACAATAAAAACTAAAGAAGTAATGGCGTTAAAAGCGTGTCCTGCATGCTGTTTGCAGTTAGGTGGGGCGCACGAGGACAACAAAAGGAGAAAAAGTGGTTCAGAAGTGTTTCATTGACATGTATTTGCCTCCCAGCGACCCCCAACTTTACATACAGACGACCTCCTGATTAACTGTGAGGTGTGAACCCCCGGCTCACACAGGTCACCCCCAACTTCTCAGTCAATGAGCCTGTAAATGAACTTTAATCACCTCTGTGGAGGGTCAGAGCTGAAACTGTTTTAAATGATCTGTTCATGACTCATCGTGGATTTATCTCTGAGCTCAAAGTTTCCCCTCACTGTGAGAAATCCCCTCTGAAAGCCTGAAACACGTTCAGGATTATGATTCGAAAAGAAAATCCAGATGTTTGGGAGAATTGTGCAAAGTGGTGATGGAGGTGAAACATTGAGGGGAAATACTTTCAGACCTTACAAGTATCAATCTATTTAAATGCACTACCTCATAGTGGCTGTCAGAATGAAGCTTGATGCATATAATTCTTTATACGTGGAGGAACATTTCAGGTGGAGAGAGCCTCAGGTTTCTGTGCCCCGTCTGAGGATCACTGCGACTATTTCCTCCTTTCGGACTCCTCTTTTAATATTTTTGTCCCTTATTTTTCATCCACTCTTAGATAACTGCCAGTCTGCAGTCTTAAAGTTTAAAATCTTTGCATTTATATTTAATAACCTGGTTTGCTGTGTGTGTGTGTGTGTGTGTGTGTGTGTGTGTGTGTGTGTGTGTGTGTGTGTGTGTGTGTGTGTGTTGCTACCTCCTTTTGTTCCTCTGTAAAAGCAGTGAGACATTCTAATGCACATGTGAGATGCTGATTTTGATTTTTTCTTTTTTACAGCAGGCCTGCTTTTACATAAACAGCTGTGCATGTCTTGCCCTCACTGCATTGCTCTGCATACCAAACAGCTTCCATACTCTTTCACTGAACTTACATTCATTGCTGCACGCGGCCTACTTTGTTCTTATGTTAGACTGAGCCAGCAAAACTCTTTTCTGTTAACATAAAGATGTTGAATTTGATTCCATCTAATATAAGAAGAAGGGGAGAGTCAGCAGTGCGTCTCTGTGTTTCTACAGGATAAAGAAGAAATAAGAAATACGAAAGGTTAAAAATACAAACAAAAGGTTCTGGTAGCTTTAATCTTTATTGTTTATCTGGTACTTAATTACTTTGCTTTAGTTCGGATGAGAGCAGGAAAAGCTGAAAATATATTTCATAAATCTTTGCCCACATTTGCCGTGCCGGATTGGACTCCTTGGGGCCGGATTGGACTCCTTGGGGCCGGATTGGACTCCTTGGGGCCGGTTTTGGCCCCTGACCTTATGTTTGACTCTCTTGCTTTATAATAGATTTATTCTACAATAGATTATAGGTGTTTTATGCTTAGATTGCATTTCTACTTGCACAGTCATAAACGGGAGCCATCTTAAAACAGGATGTCCAATATTTAATGAATATTAAAACGTCACGTTTGCAGTTAAAGTCTGCAGCCGGAAGTTATTGTCGGTTTTTTGGAGAGTGTTGACATCCGTCAGCGCCCGTTAAAAATCAAATGAGCAGTTTTGTTTGTATCGTCTCGTCACTGGTTGCTAGAAGCGGAAGAGCTGCAGCCTCGGAGCGGATCGGCTCCTTTCGCTCTCATCTCGAAAACAAACGGTTAAGCGACGTCATCAGCAGACGGAGGTTATTTTGGAACAGCAGTGAACAAAGAGGGGCTTTTTCGCGCCCTATGTTTAAAAGCCCGGGAGCAGCCAATCAGCTTTCAGGTGACGCACACAAACCCTACGGCTTGAGTTCTAGGAAAACAACCAATCACATCCGCGACTGCGCTGTGTGCCCTGCGTTCAAATTTAAATACACGATTTCCGCCAATCCGCTGCTGGGGGGACGGATCTGTGTGAGACTCGATAGTATAGTTAGTGCGGCCTCGCAGACGGTGACTAAACAGTTGACCGTCCTTCCTCCTTCACTCGTTTACAGCTCGTCTTGCGGTGAACAGGTAAGGCCCCTCTGCTGTCTAATAATTGTTTAGCAAACAGTGGCTGGAAGGTGTTTGTGCTTTGTTTGTTGTATTGCAATGGTGTGTGCCGAAATTTCTGGGGCCATTTTAACCTTTGTGCGGTAAAAATACGTCTGTGTTTTTTGGCCCGTAGGTCGTTTGCGTGATAAATCACAGCAATATCAAAACGGTGTTTGTGAAAAAGCAAGCAGTTCGCTGCTGTTTAAAACCGAAAAGCATCAATTTTGTGGGGTGTTTTTCTTGCTCTGTGCTCTGTAAGATGGTGCTGTAGTAGCTCAGTGTGTGTCCGACTTTAGTGCGCAACATGCCGTTCAAACGCCATTTGGTTTGGTAGCTTAGCTTGCAGCACGACGGAAGCGCCTCTCTTTTTAAAGTTTGGATGAAGTCTCCGGCTGTCTCGGAGTCGCTCTGGGTGCTGGCTACACGTGTTTAAAGACAGAAACCCGGGGAACTGCTCGCAGTGTAGCGGAGCGGCTGTATTGCAGAGACTTTGTTGGGGAAGTTTTTGGCGCAGTTGTGTTTAGGCGGGAAGATACAAAATGGAGTCGCGTCTTTTTGTCCCGGAGAGGCAGAAAGCCGATTAGAGCCTTAAAACACTCCCGGGCGTCTGCTCGCCCTATTTCTGCTGCGGTAACACCACTTACGGCCACACGACGGCAAATGTGAGGATATTACCCGCTTTAATTTAAAACGGTGAGGCCAGGGAGCGGTTATTGTGCCGGGGTGGGCGTGTAATACGAAACTCGGAGTCGTTTTGGTGGTTTAGTGTTTGGTTTCATTTCTGGTTTTCTTTCTGGTCTTTATTTTGCAGATTAATCGCAGCCATGACAAAGGATCCGAATAAGCCGAGAGGAAAAACCTCCTCCTATGCTTTCTTTGTGGCGACCTGCCGCGAGGAGCACAAGAAGAAGCACCCAGGGACCAGCGTGAACTTCGCAGAGTTTTCCAAGAAGTGCTCAGAAAGATGGAAGGTGAGCCCCGCGGTTTATTATAAGCACTGATGTTCTGATATTTTATTTTATTTTTTGCCCTTTTTAAAAATTAAGACGTACGTGTGTGTGTGGTAGACCATGTCCCCCAAGGAGAAGGGAAAGTTTGAAGAGATGGCCAAGAACGATAAGGTCCGATATGACCGGGAGATGAAGTCCTACGTGCCACCTAAAGGTGCCAAGAAGGGAAAGAAGAAGAAGGACCCCAACGCCCCCAAAAGGCCCCCGTGAGTCTACACTCGCTGCTCTTTGTCTGTAAAATGTTTTCAGTTAGATTCTTGGGATTAAGTTTGTTTTCCCTTCAGCTCCGCTTTCTTCGTCTTCTGCTCCGACCACCGTCCCAAGATCAAGGAGGATAACCCTGGGATCTCCATCGGCGACATTGCCAAGAAGCTTGGCGAGATGTGGGCCACGCAGGGTGCCAAAGACAAGGCCCCCTACGAGGCCAAAGCCGCCAGACTGAAGGAGAAATACGAGAAGGTGCCCCTGTGTTTTCGGGTGGTGTTGGATGGTGTAGCGTGTCTGTGAGGTGGCGTTCCTAACGTGTCTCCTCTTCTCCTTTTCCAGGACGTTGCTGCCTACAGAGCCAAGGGCGGCTCTGGGAAGAGCGACGCTGGAAAGAAGAGCGGGCCCGGCAGGCCCGCCGCCAAGAAGGCTGTACCGGCTGATGATGATGATGACGATGATGATGACGAGGAGGAAGAGGATGAAGATGACGACGATGAGGATGATGACTAAGTGGTTTCTGTGTTTGAGGATGTGAAGTTTGCGTTGTTCAGCTTATGTTTGTTTTTTGGGTTGGACTCGTCCAACGGTATAGCCTGCTGTCCCTGTCGGTCGGCCTCGCTCGACCTGTACTCCTCTTCTAATTCAGGGATTTAGATTTTATTGTCCCTTAGTCCCCTTTAAGTTTTATTTTTGTTTTACAACTGCTGAAGTCGGGTCTGTTACACCTTAGATCCTGGTCTAAAAAACGTGCAGCCAGATTATTTCCTGTGATGATGCGATGAACTGAAACTCCTGTGCAGACGGTGGACAGCAGCCAGCCAGGAAACGTTTTCTTTTCTTTGTTTGTTTTTTTTATTTTAAGAATGATTGTTTCTGGAAGCACTGCTCATGTTTTCTGTTCCAGCGGTGCCGTTTCTTCACTGTCATTTTACTGCCAGGATTTATCTGTAGTTTGGTTAAAAGAAAAATGTTTGCCGTCATTTTTAATGTGGAACTTTGAAAACATGTAGAACGGATT